AGCGCGCCATCAACGTCCAGTGCAAGTTCCAGGTGGGCAACATCCCCGAAGAGAGCGGCAAGTCGCAGCTGATGGACACCTCGGTCTTTGGTCAGTCTTTTTAGTGAAAAAAGTTTGCTTTGTTTAAAAATTTAGAGCCTAATCTTTTCCACATTTCTTTCTTTACACTTAGGAAACTGCCGCATCTCCGAGTTTCCCGATGATCAGCTGAAGGTGCTCAATCTTCGAGACTTGAAGCTGCTCTTCGGCGGCTCCACCTGCATTATAATGCACTGTGAGGTAAACTGGGAGATTTCTATTTGAAAACTCTGATTAATTCATCTTTTTATTTTTGTTCTGTTTGTAGGTGACCATCCGCGACCTGAACCCAAAGTTCTCCGAGCCCTCGTACNACTGGGAGATTTCTATTTGAAAACTCTGATTAATTCATCTTTTTATTTTTGTTCTGTTTGTAGGTGACCATCCGCGACCTGAACCCAAAGTTCTCCGAGCCCTCGTACCACGCCCAGCACCTGGCGGAAAATCTGGCCATGCTGCTGCGAGACCCACTTTTCAGCGATGTCATCTTAAAGACCACCGTCGATGAACGGGAGTTTCCCGCCCACAAAAACATTCTCAGCGCCCGGTCAAAGGTCAGAGGATGGAACGCCAAAACAAAACAAAAAGAGCTTACGATGATTTTTCAACCCCTAATCACAAATTTTTTTTGCATTTTAGGTTTTTGCGGCCATGTTCACCAACGAGGGCTTCCTCGAGGCGACGCAGAAGAAGCTAGAGATTCCGGACATTCCCGGCGAGGTGATGGCCGTCCTCCTCGAGTACATCTACGGCGGCGAGATTGCCAACGTGGGGCCGGTGGTCAGCGAGCTGCTCGAGGCGGCTGATAAGGTCTGTTCGAACTGTTTTTGGCTTGATAACTTATTAAAAATTGTTACTTTTTACCACAATCTAGTACGACATTCAACCGCTGATTCAAATCTGCGTCTCCCACATGCACAAATCGATCTGCCCGCAGTCGGCGGCTAAAATCTTCTACATTGCCGATCTCTACCGAATTGAGCCGCTGAAAAGTCAGGCCATCGAGTACATCTGCCAGCACGCGGCGGAAGTGCGCGAAAGTGAGACCTGGGCGCAGTACGTCCGCCCCAGCAGCGACCTCCTCGAGGAGCTGTTCAACAACATGGCCAACAAGAGACTTTACGGAAGTTCTGGTGCTGGTGGTGGTAGTAGTGCCGGCAGCAGCAGTGCTGCTGTTTCCAGCTCCACCGTTAGCAGCAAGGGAAAATAATGAAAAGTGACAAAAACGATAAAAAAGCAGCATTTAAAATATGAAAGAAGAAGGAAGTTTTGTTTACCTGCTGTTTGCGGAACTCATTCAATCTTTACTATTCCTTCTTTCATTTATTTATTCACTCTACACACATTTGTTTAGCCACACACACACACACAGTGTTACAATGTATTAATTTATAAATTAATGATAAAACGCGTATCTTTTGATTTTCAATAATCCTTGTAAGTTGTGTTTTGGTGATTGTTTAGTCGATGATCAAATTGATTATTGTGCCTGAACAAGAAAAGCAAGACAAGAAACTGATGCAAAAATAGAAAAAGTTGTCCAATTTTTTTCGGTAGAAAAGCTAGTTTGATTCTGGAACAGTAGGTAGAGCCAGTGACTTAACTGTTTGGTTGAAAACTCAATTGAATTTTGCCTGTATTTCAAATTAGGAAGGGAATACATTCAATGAAAAAATTTTTACTGGCTTTGTTTTCACTGTGCTCATTGAGCACTGGATCTGTGTTTAGCAAGAACAGTATAGTAAAGAAGAACAGTACAGAGTTCCGTTTGCTGTCTTTAGCACGTAACTCACTTGACATCGAGCACACACTTCTTTGTTTGCAGCAGCAGCACTTCCGGTTTTGTGCTAGAAAAAAACTTGGACTTTCTTCTTCTCTTTTTCTCTCACTCTACCAAAAAGCTCTTTATTCGGCCATTTATTTTTCCCAGTGTTCTAACTCAGCTGTTTGACTGCTGTTAAGAGACGCATCTCTTTCTTCTGCTGCTGCTGCTTTTTCTCCGAACTGTCTTCCAATAAGAAGAAAAAAAAGTGTACAGAAGAAAAGAACAGGCAGACAGAATGTGCCTGTTCAAGTGGCGAGTCTTAGATGGCCAGTTGGCCATACTGTTCATTGTGTTGGCATGTGTGATTCCGCCGCAGTTTAGTGCCGTTCTGAACTGTTCAGAACTGAATGAATTGAGCACACTTTGAATGCTGCCAGCATTCATTCACGATGATTCGATTCGATTCAATTCTGCACATTTTTTTATTTACCGCAAAGTGAGCTTTTTAGGCGATTGTCTTCAGAATCGCTTCAGAGGTTTTGGGCTCTCGGGGCTCTCTGACTTATCAGCTGGTAAAAAAGCAGGAACAGCAGTTTCCGATCTGCCTGTATTTAATATTCACGCAGATCTGTCAACTGCTCAGCAACTTGATCGCCAGTGTGTGAATGCGTGCGTTCACTTGTGAGCTAATTTAGCATCCTAGCTGTTGTTGTTGTTGTTTTACTATCAGTTTTTCTATTCTTGCTAGCAACTTTTTTTTGCTGACATTGCGACCAGCAAGAAAAGGAAAGGAAAAAAGAAAGAAAGACGGACATTGGCAGCGGGCAGAGAAAGCGGAAGATTTCAGGCAGGAGAAGAAGAAGAAAAAGCTAACTAAGCTCACTGAATCCAAAAGTGGCTGGCGCAAGTGAGGAATGCATAATTCGGCCAACTGGAAAAGAAGAAGAAGAGGAAAACATCCGAACTCAGTGCATCTTCTACTTTTTCCGCATTTTCACAGAAACCGCAGCACTCGCCACCGATTGCCATCCTTTTCTTCTTCTTCCAATTCTTCTTCTTCCTCTCACACTTTACTTCACAATTTATCTTTGACCCCCTTGATCAGATCAGGCACTTGGTGTCGAGAGACCACCAGAGACCTCACAGGAGCCCCCGAGCAGGAAGTGGAATTGAAGAAGAAGAAGAAGAAAAATCACTGTACGGTGAACACAAACACACACACACACATTCGAACACTTTTCAATCTGGGCAGTTATCAATTGCACAAGTGCAAGTGCAGCAGAGTGCTGAGCAGAGTCATTTGAGCTTATTTCTTTTTTTTCTACTATTTGGCCTGGCCTTGCAAGAAAATCAACTGAATGAATCAAGAGCGGACAATCGATCCATTTATACTTTCTTTAGTTACCACAATATGGCTTTCAGTTTTTTCAGTTTAGATGCTTTTGTTGTTGCTGTTGTTTAGAGTAAAAAAGTGAACTGTGCGTTTTAAACTGGGCCACAACTACCACCACCAAGCTCCATAGCACAAAACAGAGAAAGTTAATAGATTTATAAGTCGCTGATCGACCCCAACTTACTGAACTTTTTACTTTCACCCCCGGAATTGATGGATAATTCATTATTAGCCAGTCTTTGATTAATCGTCTCGGCATTAATAACACACAAACCGCCCCCTTTCTTTCTCTTTGATAACACACACAATGTGTGTGTCAAAACTGCTGAGGATAAGACAGTCGTTTCAGAGCTTTACCAGAATTTTGCAATTGTACGACACACTGTACGACACACTGTACGACACACTGTGGCACACTTGGCATTGCAAATTAGGGAGTGAGCC